GGGCTGGGAGGAACCCAGGGAGGAAGTTAGGGTGCCTTCCCTACCCTCAGAATGCTGATGCCACCGCTGCCTCCCAGGGCCTGTCTGTTTGGCTCTGCCTCCCTGGTCTGTACCTTCCTCCCAGACTTCCTATGACCCATTTAGGTCTTATATAGCCAGGAAAACTTCCCTGGTCTGCTTTTCCCATGAGCAGCTGCCCAGCAACTGCCAGGGCCTCCTAGAACATGGTCACCTTAGGACCTGTGTGTGGTACTGGCTTCTGGGGACCAGGTCTCCTTCCCAGACCTAACAGCACTGTTTGGGGCATTTCCTAAGAACATCTCAGAAGTACTATGTGTGTGTGTGTGTGTGTGTGTGTGTGTAGTCAGAGGTCGATGTCAGATGTCTTTCTCATTTTTTCTGTGTCAGGTCCAAAGGAAACTCCATTTCCCCAAATTCTGGAGGTTAGATGAAACACAAGCATTTCTCAGGAACTTGTGGAGCTGGTTCCCCTCTACCAAAAGGAGCCATTTCCCTATCCCTGGCAGAAAGGACAGATGGCTGTTTGTGATATCTATTAGCATACCAAAGCACATGCTGGCCTCCAGGCTCCCTCAGTATCACCCCAAAGTACCTGTTACACATTTCAGAGTTCATGCTGGCATCCCAGCTCTTCTCATTTCCTCCCCTACCTTAAACTTCCCTTGATGACAGGCTTCCCTCCCCCAGCTACTCATTCTCCTTCTAACCCATTATGTTGGCTATGCCCTCCCTCTCTTTGTCTTCATCTCCCCCCCCCCTCACCCTCTCTATCACTCTGTTCTGCTCCTGCTTCTCTCATGGCCAGGTCCATCTGCTGGTCATGCTCAGTCTACTACTTAATTTCTGTTCTGGACTCTTCCAGTGCCTCTGACTGTTCTCACTCTCATACCTACAATAAAAACCTTCCCCTTAACCATATCATGAAGCAGTCATATCATCAGTTTATATACTTTCTGTGCCGTATTTTTTGAAGTAGGATCTCTCACTGAGCCTGGAGCTTGCAGATTTGACTAGGCTGACTGGCTGGCCGGCCAGTTAACTATGGGATTCCTCCTGTTTTCTCCTCCTCGGTGTTGGGATTACAGGTGTTCGTTGTTGCACATGGCTTGTTTGTGTTAGCGTGGGTTCAGGGGATCAAACGTGGGGCCTTTGCTTGTGTGGCCAGCACTTTACCAACCGAGCAGTCTCTGTTTTCCTCCCCCTAGCTCTTGTGCTTGGTGAGCACAGGCAAGCAGACACTCTTGCTCTTGGCTGTGCCTCCAGCTCCTCTCACAGTGGCTGATTCACAGTCCCATCAACGTTTTGTGGCACGAAGGAATCTCAGCCAAGTGTGGAATTTAGCAGCACCTTGACCATGAACCAGAAAGTGCAGAGAGACAGGTATCCTTTCTGGAAGCCTGAGGATGTCCACACTGTGGAGCAGAGTCCCGAGACTGAAAGCCAGTGTCTTTAACTGGGCACCACCAGGGCCTCTTGGAGCTTCCTCCTCCAATAGATTGAAGTGCGATCTACAGATCTCGGGCCCACAAAGTGCTTTGAAATGAATTTAAATCCATTGCCTCTATTGAAAAATGGGAAGATTTCACACAGCAGATTTCGGCACGCCTTGGAAACTCTAGAAACTCTGATACCACTGGACTTACGCTTCTTAATGGGAGCCCCTAGCTGGCTCCAGGCAGGGATAGTGTCAGTCCTATGTCCGCAGGCAATCTCAGGCCTCCCCCGGAAGCTATCATGAAAGCTACAGTGACCTTGTCTCACCTGGAAGTCTATAGCCGTGTTGTCTTCCTGAGAAGCAGGCTGGGAGCTGATGTCCAGGCCCTTAGGACACACACCACCTCATCCTGGCTCTGCATGGAGGGCTGGCCAGCAGGCTTGTTCTTCTGTGGGAGATGAGACCATGATGCTGAGCTGTCCTCAGGGACAACTGACATGTTGTCGTGCACAAGGCTAAGGACCAGCGTCTGCCCCCTCTGCTTCCTCTCACTTTGCCCCTGGTCTGTGATTTTGTTACTATCTATGGTGGTGTGAATAGAAATGGTCCCCATAAGCTCATAGTGAGTGGCACTATTTAAAAGGATTAGGAGATATAACATAGTTGGAATAGGTGTGACCTGGTTGGTGTAGGTGTGGAGTAGGGTTAGGCCTTGCTGGAGGAAGTATGCTATTGGGGGTGGGCTTTGAGGTTTCAAATGCTCAAGCCAGGCCGAGTGTCTCTCTCTTTAAGCCCCAGTTAAATGCTTTCCTTTGTAAGAATTGACGTGATCATGGTGTTTCTTCACAGTAATAGAACAATGACTAAGATACCATCCTGAACCCATAGAGACAGAGGTAGCTCTGTACTTCTGGGAAAGGGTGACTTATTTACCAGCCCCATGAGCCCCAGATTGGATCAGAAGTGGCCTTTAATAAATCAGTCTTGTCTCATGCCTCCTATGCTGGCAGGCCCATGTGGCTCTTCTGTCCTCTTAGACTGGCTTCTTTGGCTCATGGGTCACTGGTATGAAAATGGGCTGAAGAGGGGACCTGGCCTCAGTGCCATCCTATAACCAGTACTGTGCGTGTCTCCAGCCCACTGTCATCCGACTTACTGTCATCCCTATGTTCCCAGTGCCCCAGCAGGGATGGTGCACAGTAGGACACTGTCCTCACTCTTTGTCACTGACTGCTATGATGCCCATGTCACTTCTTCACTCACTGTTGTAGATGCCTGTCTGTCAGGGTCACAGATACTATTGCAGTGACATTTTTCCCCCTGTGTAACTGATTTTGATGGTTCGAATTCTTAGAATAAATGCAAAGTATTCAAATTCTTGAATGGGAGGAGTGGCAGACATGAAATTTCTGAAGTTGCATCTGCCCTTATTGCCAGGGATCTGGAGAAAGTCAGTTTTACTAGAACTATGGCGATACTTGGAACCCACTCTGTAGATGAGATTGGTCTCAAACTCAGAAATCCACCTGCCTCTGCCTCCCAAGTGCTGGGATTAAAGGCACCCTGGATTGTAGTCTTAAAATTTTGTAACTGGGTACATAAATGTTCTAATTTGTGTGTTTTAATTTTTTTCTTTGAGGCAGGGTCAAATGTAGTGGCCTCAAACTCACACTGTAGCTGAGGATGGCTTTAACTCTGGATCTTCCTGTCTTTACCTGGGATTATAGGCATGAGCCACCACACCTAGAAATTTTGCATATTTCTGTGTGGTGATTAGTATGGATTGAGACCTGTCCAAGCATTTAGTGGCTGTGCTTCCTCTTGTGTGTTCTCTTGAGTGATTTGTGTGTTAATGGGAATCAATGTTTGGTTAGAACTGCGCAAATCTATAATATGGTAGGATTAACAGTGCCCCTGCGCTAGTCACTACAAATGTTTTCCTTGTATGTTTTTCATGGGTAGCCACAAGCATGTGGCCATGGGTGTGGCTTTCTGTTCTTTGGTGAGTAGGAATGTGGTTCCACGTGGCCCCTTGACATCTAACCCAGCCTTTATGTCTCATATTAGGAGACCTTCCCAGAAAGCAGGGCCACAGGCAGCAGATGTTAGCAGGAGAGGGGATCCCAGTGCCCCTCTTTATCCCATTCTCTCTGAGCTGCCACTCACCGCCCTCTGTGACCTTGTGAGCCCTTGACACTGTCTTGGCTTAGGCAGGATATCAGAGCCACGTTTCGTGAGTCTCCTCTGCACTGATTCAGGCTTTATGGGCTCCACTGCACGTGTATCACTGCCCCTGTGCATGTGTGCATGAGCATGGTGGCCAGAGCCAGCTGTTCCATCTTTCTGACTCAGAGAATCTAAAAATATCTTGTGCTGGGTGATTGGAGGGAATCTATGATCAACCTGTGAGTGTTCTGCTCTCAGGAGTCAGCATGTGTGGGTTTGAACTACATTTCCCCCAGAAGATGCAATCATCTCAGCAGTACAGATGGCAGCCCTGTCCCTGCATCGCCTCCCAGGTATCTTGTCTGACAGGCCTGAGGCAGGATGAGGATGCTTTCTCCACCACTAAGCATGGCTGTCCCAGGCCTTTGCCATTCGGCTGCTGACCCTCAGTACTGGTAGGAAGGACTTCCAGAACAACATATACATCCTGAGCCAGTGCCAAGAAACAGGGTTCTCATGCTCTCTCGGCTCCATGAGTATGTTCCCAGTGAGGTGTGCTCATTCATGCACCAGATGCTCAGTGAGAGTCTGCACTGGCTCATACATGAGTCTAGATGAAAGGCCAGGTCAGCAGGGACCATAATTGATTTTGAATTGCTATGGAGTGAAGCCTCTCAGAAGATGGGCACGTGACCTGGCCTTGAGGGTGAACAGGATTCTGCAGTGGGGCGAGGGAGGGAGGGAAAGAGAGAAAGAGAGAGGCAAAGGAGAAGGGAGAGGAGGAAGAACTCCAGGCTTCGTGATCAGAGCACAGGAAGTGACTCCCCATTGATATCCAGGTAGCTGCAGCCCAGGAAGAGGGGAAGAACAGGGTTGAACCACAGAGACTGAGAAGCATCAAGAGGCCTGGGCAGGCTCTGGCTTTGGAGGGAAGACTGAAGGGAAAGGACTCTGTAGGTGAGGGGTCTGTGCTGCTTAGCGGGGTGCCACTTACATACACAGCTACTGAGGACAAAGAGCCAGCCGGAGCATTGTGCCTGGTCAATGTTGGCTGCCAGTGAAAATGAGCAGCATTATGCTCTGGTGATGGCTCTGGTTTGGTTGGCTGGAGCATGTGGAGTTGTAGTATGCTGCTTAGCTGGGAGGGATCCTGATGCTGGTATCCCTGGGCTCCCATTGCCTGCTACCACATGGCAGCAAAGTGGACATAGGAAACAGACACTGGCTGGTGGCATCCCAGACTCTGTAGGTACAGAGACTGTCGTCAGTGCAGGAAAAATGTGACTCATTCTTTCCTCAGGTTGATTTGGGATCAGTGACTTTCCTTGGGGGACTGGCCTTCTCATAGTGACAGTGTTTATGTCTGTTTCCATTCCAGATGCTATAGGGCCTCTGAGCTGCTCGACACTCAGCCTTGGTGGTAGCCAGAGGCTCCCAACATACTTGTGCGTGCTTGCAGCTTCAGAAAACTGCTCCTCAGGCTGTGCCCATCCTGTTTGGCAGCCCAGCCACCATGGAGGCCCCAGAAGTCCCTGTGGGCTCCCTGATTGACTTTGGGACCGAACCACCTACGTCCCCTCCCCTGGAGGCAGCACCTTCAATACTCCAGGACCCAGATGGCTCCCTGGGTGATGGTGCATCTGAAAGTGAGACCACTGAGTCTGCAGACAGTGAGAATGACATGGGCGAGTCACCGTCACACCCATCCTGGGACCAAGACCGCCGCTCGTCCTCCAATGAGTCCTTCTCCTCCAATCAGAGTGCTGATTCAGCCCCAGACGAGGAGACCCTGGCACTTCGAGAGTTCATGCGCAGCTACGTAGAGAAGATCTTCTCTGGAGGGTAGGCCTTCTTTGGGATGGGGGTTAAACCTTCTTTGGAATGCAGGGTAGACCTTCGAAGGACACTAGCCTGCGATCAGGTCCCAGGGACCTGCTTCCTACTATAAGCCACAGTGGCCATCCTAGACTGTTTATAAAGTCATATTGGGAGGTTTTAAAGAGTTCCCAGTCCTGGGGGTTGAGGATTTAACTCAGTGGTAAAGTGCTTGCCCCACAAGCACATGGCCCTGGGTTCAGTCCTCAGCTCTGGAGGAGAAAAAAGATAAAGACTTCCCAGTCCTGGACTCCACCCCAGACCAATTAATACCTGTTCCCTGGAGCAGCATGCCATGTATCTACAGGCTGTTTGTGACTGTCTGGGGGCAGCAAATTGACAACTCTTAATTGGGGTGTCAGCACCAAGGGTGGCCACAGAGGGAGTGGTCCTCAGCCTGGCCAGGCCCATGTTCCCTGCTCGTCCTGGTCAGCACTGGAACACAGACTCAGTTCATCTGTTTCCCCTTAGCTTTCTCACTTTTTCATTTCATGCGTGGTTCTGCCTAGGCCTCATAGGACCAAGGAAGCAGATAAGAGACTGTCTTCCATGGTGTCTTCAGTAGCCTGTATGGTATGGGCTGCATCCTTATTACTACAGAGGCAGAGGACGCTGTAGAGAAACAAATGATAAGCTCTGTTAGCTGTTGACATATGTCATTTCAGAATTTTCTCTGTGTATTCTTTTTTCCTGAGGGTATTGAGGATTGTCTTAGTTACTTTTCTATTGTTGTGAAGAGATACCATAACCAAGGCAACTTATAACAGAAAACATTTATTTAGGACTTACAATTTCAGAGAATGAATCCATGACAGTCATGGTGGAGAGCATGGCAGCAGACAGACAGGCATGGCACTAAATCAGTAGCAAAGCATTTATTTATCATTTATTATTATTATTATTATTATGGTTTTTTCAAGACAGAGTTTCTCTGTGTAGCTTTTGGAGCCTGTCCTGGAACTCACTTTGTAGCCCAGGCTGGCCTCAAACTCACAGAGATCCGCCTGCCTTTGCATCGCAAGTGCTGGTATTAAAGGTGTGCATTACCACCGCCCAGCTGTAGCTGAGCATTTATATCTTGATCCATAAGCACAAGACAGAGAAAGATAACTGGGAATAGCGTGAGCTTTTGAATCTCAAAACCCACCCCCAGTGACACACCTCCTCCATCAAGGCCATGCCTCCTAATCCTTCCCTAACAGTTCCACCAACTGGGAACTAAACATTTAAATATATTAGCCTATGGGAACCATTCTCATTCAAACCACCACAGGGATAGAATTTCCAGGCCTCACACATGCTAGGCAAGTGCTTATTGTTGAGCTACTACACCCATAGACCCTCTGCATTCGTGTGTGTGTGTGTGTGTGTGTGTGTGTGTGTGTGTGTGTGTGTGTGTGTGTGTCTGTCTGTCTGTCTGTCTGTCTGTCTGTATTTGTATCTGGCTCTGGTCTGTATAGTTATGCCTGTGTGTGCAGGTGTGCATCCCTGTGAGTGTGCAGAGGACAGAAGTTGATGTCTGGTATCTCCCTTATTCGCTCTTCACCTTTTTGAGGGAGGGTCTCTTTTGAACCTGAGGCTCCTTGGTTTGGCTAGTCTTGCTGGCCAGTGAGCCCTCAAGATGCTCCTGTCCCTGTCCTCAGCACTGGAGTTGCAGGTGCGTGCTAGCGTGTCTAGCTTTTATGTGGGCACTGGGATCTAAACTCAAGTTCTCTGCTTACCAACTGTGCCACTTCCACAGCCCTGCTCTCTGCATTTTAAACTCTGCTCTTTGTGGGGTTTACCTCCACTCTGCACTCCCAGCTCCACTGATACTTGTCTTACTTTGTTGTTGTTTTGGCCTCCCAGCCCCTGGGCATGTCCAGAGAAGCTTCTCCAGCTGTCTCAGAGCCTAGCTGGTCAGGAGGCTGCACTAACTTTAGTTGCTGCTGAAACTAAATTCAGAGTGATAAAGGCAACAGAATCTGGTCACCCAGCCTCCTGGTGGAGTATACAGGCAGCTGATTCCTAAGTAATTGTTTCCTCTGAGTCTCTTCCTGGAACTCCTCTATGGCCTTTTTATTGTGGTTCTCTTTTAATTAATTAAGAATCAGGGGACCAGGCAGTGGTGGTACACACCTTTAATCCCAGCACTTGGAAGGCAGAGGCAGGCAGATTTCTGTAAGTTCGAGGCCAGCCTGGTCTACAGAGTGAGTTCCAGAGAGCCAGGGCTGTTACACTGAGAAACACTGGGTTGAAAAACCAAAGAAGAAGAAGGAGGAGGAGGAGGAGGAGGAGGAGGAGGAGGAGTCAGGGTGCATGTACTACAACATGTGTGTGGAGATCAGAGAATAATTTTCAGGAGTCAGTTCTCACTTTCCACCTTGTTGAGGCTGGGTTGAAGTTGGGTTGAGGCTGGGTCTCTCTTGTTATACCACTGCATGGCTCACTATAAACTAGCTGGCCCATCCCATCCAGCTTTTTACATGGGTTCCTAGAATCAAACTCAAGCCACTGTGCTTGCACAGTAGTGCCTTTATCCACTGAGCCATCTCCTGACTCTATTGTGGTTCTTGAAGGAGTAGAATAGAAGAACCAACAGCAGAGGCTTAGGAAGCAGATATCTGGGGTTAGAATCTGGCCTGAGCAGAAGATGCCTGGGTGGCCCCCTTAGCTCTGCCTCCATGTCTCTGTTAAGTGGTACCTCAGCTGGGACAGGGAGGTAGGTGGCAGCCCAGAATCGCAGGGTCCCAGGTCTGTTCACTGATGTGTTAGCAGCTACAGCAGCTTGCCAGGGCTTGGGTTCTTTACGGATCAGCCACATCAGCGTCTCCTGAGTTGGTGGAAATGCAGAGCTTCAAGCACTGTAGCTCCTCTGGGTATGCACCTGGATTCTGTCAAGCCTATCTTGTGGGGACAGTCTGCCCACAGCTATGGTCTTGGAGTTCATAGTGTGATGGTGCACTCTCACTAAAACCAATACAGATTAAAAGCAAAACAAATGTCTACCTATTAGGCTATGGCTGTGGCTCATCCGGCAAAGTGCTTGCCCAGTGTGCATGAAGCCCTGGTTTAATCCCAAGCAATGCATAAACCAAGCATGGTGGCATATACTTGTGATTCCAGCACTTGGGAGATGGAGGCAGAGGATGAAGAGGTCAAGGTCATCCTTGGCCATAGAGCAAGTTTGAGACAAGACTAGTATAGAGACTCTTAACCTAAAAAATATATAATATATATTGTATATTTATAATATTTTAGATGTTATATCTTATATTATATCCATATATTATGTTAATATATCAATTAATATATAATATATTGATATTTATATGTGTTTTTTATATGATTGATAATATTATTATTGTCTGATGACAAACCCATAAGTACAAATTACATACACTGGCCAATCCTCAGCCTTCTGCTTCATTTTCTTCCTTAAATTTGAGGAAAATGTTTGGCTATCCACAGGGAGGACTTGGACCAGGAAGAGAAAGCCAAGTTTGGAGAGTACTGCAGTGGTGAAGACGGGAAAGGCCGTGAGTGGTTTGCACGGTTTGTGAGCGCACAGGTGAGTGCAAGGTGGGCAAAAAGGACCACCAACCTACCTGCTCAGTGCCGCTATGGTGAAGAGAGTGGAGGACATAAGCCAGTGGATGAGGTCAGAGACACCTGAGGCAGGCTATAAAGGCCTGCCCCCTGGTTGGAAGCTTAACTTTGGAAGGAATAAGGACTATGGCAAGCTTGGGAAGTCTCCCCAAATTCTTTTCCAGAGGCGAGCATGTGGGCTCTGTCCGTGCATATTTTTATTAAATAACCTGTAGTATTCAAATTTTGTAAAAGATAATATTTTCAAGGTTGTGAAAGGCAGGTAAAACCAAATGTATTGAGAAAGCTTGGGAAGATTCACAGCTTGCATATTCCCATTATAATAGGGATGTGTTCTTCATAGAGAAGTTAGCAAATGCAGACAAGAGTAATTAACAAACTCAGGAAGAGCCAGTTGCCATTTGGGGTGTTGTCACTCCACACTTCTCCACGGAGAAACTTTATGATCCCGTGAGAGCAGGAGAGCACCTTCTGGGCTCCAGTGCAGAGGGCCCTGGGAAGCGCCTGTGTCCTGCCCAGAGTCCTGGCAGAAGAGAAGCAGCCATTGGGGCCCATCCAAGAAGCATGGAGACATGCAGAGTGACAAGCCTCCAGCCTGCTGAACTGCTGTGTGTCACCAAGTCCTGCTGATTTTTGCCTGGTTCTTTCTGCACAGCGCTGCAAGTCCAAGTGTGTGTCTGAACCAACCTTCTACCGCCTGGTGCAGTCCTTCGCAGTGGTGCTGTTTGAGTAAGTGGCGAACTCCTCCAAAGCCCCCTGCATCTGTCCTTCCCACTTTTCCCACCCATGATGAGCCAGCTGTGAGTAATGGCCACACCAGCTGTCGCCCACTCTTGGCTAGAATTCGGGGCCAGCATCTTCTGGGAGCAGAGCTGTGGGCTCCCTCCTGCCCAGCTGGAGATGGGGTTGTTCTCTTTGCCCTTCTCATTCACAGTGCAGTCTGTAACTGGACTAATATAATTTCCTCCTTTTAAAGCCTCTTTCTCTCCATTCGTGTGCTAAGTGGAAGGGCTGTGTGACTATCCCATTAATATTTGGTTGTAATCTTTAGCACACTGCAGTGCAGTAAGAATGGTCCTTTGCATTTGTAAAATGCCACTCAGTATGTCACTTTCTTGTATGCAATAGTTTGTTTTGATTTTCAGCAAGTGACACAAAGGGCATGAGTATCTATCTACTGTGCTACCTCTGGACCAGGAGGGTAGGGACAACAGTGGCCTGGGGTCTTATGACTTATATGCATTCATACCCCACCAAACCCCTGAGACGGAGCCTGGGACCGTCCAGTGGTTCATCTCCTAACAGCCCTCCAGGACATCTGGAGCTACTGACTTCTGAGCATGTATGTGAGGGACAACACATCCTGATGACCCCTGAGAATAGGCAAAATGGTCTGGGCCACGGGTGTGGACCAAAGCTTGAGGTGACTTCAGGTCCTGGCCCTGCTGGGGTGCCCTGGGATGAGCTTCCTGGGCCTTGATTTGATCTTAATGTGAGAAAGACCAGGCTGAGAGCCACAAACACCTTCCCACACCCAGAGCCAGTCCTTGCATCTGCAGTGGCTCCCCTGACTGCGTGCTGGGTGTTCTTGTCGCTGCTGTGGCAGAGTCTGGGAACTGAGGCTTCTGAAGCACTTTGGTCCGGCTTCATCATCTTGCAGTGGTGCCTGGTTATGGTGCACACCTTTAATCCCAGCACTTGGGAGGCAGATCTCTGTGAGTTCGAGGCCAGTCTGCTCTACAGAGCAAGTTCCAGGAGAGCCAGGGCTACACAGGGAAACCCCATCTCAAAAAAAAACAAAGCAGCAACAACAAAAACCAACCAACCAAACAACAAAACAAAGTTGCATTGGGAGTCAGGTAGTGGGGCTCTAGCCAGCTGACCTTGCTCCCATCCCAGGTGCCACCAGATGGATGACTTTGGACCTGCCAAGAACCTCATGACCATGTGCTTCACCTACTACCATCTGGGTGAGTCGGCCTGAGCAGAGCAGTGAGCTGGGAACGGAGTTGTGCGCTGGTAACACAACATGAAGGGAAGCGTCCATGATTACCTGCAGAAGCTACAGGGCTTGCAGAGAGAGGGAGCTGGTGTTGGGGACAGGACAAGTCAGGCAGGGCTGGCTGTGCAGGGAAGGAAATGATAGAAGCAGGAGTGCTGCGTGTGGGGGTCTCCGTGGTCTGCTCCAGCAAAGCGGGATTCAGAGCTGGCCATCTAGGGGAGCAGCCTGGGATTGTATATCCCGGGAAGAGTCCGGGGTGCCTGGGGACGGTGAAGCAAAGATACAGAGCTGAGAAGAATCTTTGGCTCGTTGTGTTGAAACACCCAGGGTGCAGGAGCCCCAAGGTGTCTTGTGCTGAGCCCTGCAGCCTGCCAGCAGAGCCTGGTTCAGCTCCTCAAGGAGAGTGCTGAGAGCCTCTCTGTGGAGACCCGGGCATGGGTAATTGAGTAGTTCCCTCACACCCTCCTTGCTCACTATTGCTCCACTTCCCTCTGCGTGTGCTCTGGGTCTTCTGCTCCTCGAAGCCCCAACTGGCCTGACTGCTATAGATCATCAGCCTGGCCCTTCACAGTAGGCTGTGTGCTTGTTGGCTACCATCAAGTCAAATGGAAAGGTTCATTCTACTCACCTAGCCAGTCTGTGCAAAGATGTACACTTGGCCCATTGGGGTTACCTTGGTGGGGTTATTTCCACTCACTGCCCTAAGGAAAGATTCTGGGTTGTCCCACTCATCTCTCCCCATCCATCTTCTTCCCATATTTACCCGAGAAAGGCCCATTCCAGATGCCTTTGGGACAGGGCCCAGTCGCTGCCCTGTGCCCCACCAAGGGCAGCCTCTTCTGTTGCCCCGGCCTCTCAGACCCGCTGTGTGGCTCTCAGTGTAGACTTCCTTCTCTTCTGTCCAGAGCCAGCTCCTTCAGGCTACTTCATGGTTTCTGCCCACTGCTCTGTGCAGTGTGTGCTTATTGACCACCCCAGGGAGGCTTGGCCACCCTTGTCTGAGGAGCCTGCTACGCCAGCTGCTTCTGACCGCCCTGGTGAGGAGACTGAGGACAGCGCCTTCTAGTCTGCAGTCCCTGGGAGGCACCTTCAGGCACTCTCCCTCTCTGTCCCTGCTGCAAACCGCTCCTCACTCCCTTTCTCCCCTCTTTCAAGGCAAACCGCAGCTGCTCCCTGCAGAGCCCAGGGAGAAGCCAGCTGGCAGCATTGACTCCTACCTGAAGTCAGCCAACAGCTGGCTGGCAGAGAAGAAAGACATTGCTGAGCGGCTGCTGAAGAACACGGAGAACATGAAGGGCTTCTTTGGGGGGCTGGAGACCAAGCTGAAAGGACCACTGGCCAGGAAAAACGAGTGAGTGTGGGCGCAGGCCCGAGCTTGTGCGGAGATGGACTTTGGGAGAAGCAGGTGGCTTACCTAGTCTTGGCCCTGCAGCTGCTTTTGAGCCCCACAGCTGCCAGCTCAACATGACCCTGCACCCCCAGAGCTTCCCATGGTTCCCACATGCTGTTTGCTTGCTGGCACACAGGGGTCCAGGAACCCTGTTTCTTGGGCTGACAGGCGCATATGGCTTTGTCATTTGGCAGTGGGGAAATCACACACCCTGTCCTTCCTACCTCCTATCACTGCCATGCAAGTTAATGTGAGTGAGATCAGGAAGGTCTTGGGTGCCATTGCCTCCAGAGAGGCTGCTCTGGGAGACAGCGAACTTTTTTGTTTTGTTTGAGACAGGGTCTCTATGTAGCTCTGGCTGTCCTGGAGCTTGCTATGTAGACCAGGCTGGCCTCAAGCTCGAAGAGATCTACCTGACTCTGCCCTCCCAAATGCTGGGGATTCAAGTCATGAGCCACCATGCCTGGCCCCAGAGGGCTCTTAAGATGGGAGCATTGGTCGCAGGAGTGCTGAAGCTGAGATGCCATGAAGAGGGGTACAGCAGGACAGGGGCAGCCATCCAGGGCCCTGCACTACCTGAGACTTGGTTACAGCCAGGATACACAACTTGTTTCTCCCTGTCCACATAGTGGCCTCAAAGAAAATGGTGCCGTGCAGTCTCAGCACCACAGGCCTCCGTCCCCAGTCCCATCAATTGCCACTGTGGCACTGATTCCCAGCCTCTCTTCAGAGGAGCCACACAGAGAACAGGGCAGCATCCGACAGGAAATGTAGCATGGGCCACCTTTTCACTTTTTTTGGTCTCTCTCCCTCCAGGGAAGATGAAAACAAACCTAAGGACAGACAGCTGAAGACTGGTAAGAACACAGCTCTTCGGGTTGTCTAGGAAGTGGGGCCTTAGGGAGGCGGGGCCTATGGCATGCTGGAACCTGGGGGTGGGGTGCTATGGCATGGTGGAACCTGGGGGTTGATGGGGGGTGGAGAAGGGGTGCCTGTGAAGGAAGGCAGGGCCTACCTCTATGGCCTTGTAACCAAGACACACCACCCAGGACTCGTAAACTGGCCCACCATTAGCCAACAACAGGAACAAGCAAGCTGCACAGGGAAGGCCTTTCTAAGCAGACTGTGCAGAAATTAATCTTCCGCCCCAGGGAGTTAAGCCAGATGTTAGGGGAGGTGCCGCTTCATGGACCGCACTGGGAAGAATCCCTAAGCTAAGGCTGGCCGAAAGCTTCCTGGAATGTGGGCAGTGTAGCTCGATGGCTTTTGGGAGACACAGTGCCTGCTGAGTGTCCATAGGATCTCCCATCATGGAGTGTCCAGCACAGGCTGCCCTCGGATGTTCTTGCTCTTGCAGTGACTGTGATCAGCCCTGAAGATGAACAGAAGGGGGAGAAGGTTTACCTGTACACGCATCTGAAGCAGCAGCCCATCTGGTAAGGCCCACCCACATCCTGCCCCAACTGACCAGGCCTAGCTGCTGCCCAGCCCCTCAGGTGCCTGTGTCTCCAGCAAAGGCAGTGGCCATCCTCACCTCTAGGGTAGTCACAGTGAGAGGATTGATGCCAGCAAGTCTTAATAGGGATGTGAAGAAGACCTCTGACTCTCCATGGAGGTGGGAAGGTACAGCAGCATGGCCATTATGGAGATTCCACTGTGGGTTCATGCAGATACCTACACGGGAATCTGTATGGAGCTTATAGCACACTGTTCAGGACAGTCCCAGGCGGGCAAGGCTAGCTGGCTCTGGAGTAGGCATGATGAGGTCTTTCTGCACCATGAATTGTGGAGTAAGATCACCACACAGTGACCCCCCCCCAGCCATTGTACTCATGGAGAAGGCAGAAACAAAAGGCCACGAGTCACCTCGTCCTGTTTGTACAGAACGCAGGGCACATGGAGCCGCAGTAGAGAAGTGACAAGACTGATGAGTGACTGCTGTGGGCTTCCTTTGTGGGGCTGCAGAAGTGCTCTGGGGTCAGACAGTGCAGAGAGCTGTACCACCGAATACACCGACAAATCACTGAATTTCGTGCCTTAGTTGTTTCTTTATACATGTCCTAAGTTACTGTTAGGAATGCATTGCTTGCATGTATGTCTGTGCAGCGTATGTGCCTGGTACCCTGGAGGCTAGAAACAGGCGTCAGATCCCCTAGAGCTGGAGTTACAGGTGACTGTGGGCTGCCATGTCTGTGCTGGGAATCAGGACCCCTGTCCAAGAAGAGCAGATAGTGCTCTTAACCACAGAGCCATCCCTCTAGCCCCTATATACCTTATTTAATTTTCTTGTGCCAGGGCTATCACATACTAAGCCAACACTACCCTTGAGCTACATCTCACATTACTGGGTAAACTTCACAGGATGTCAATTACATGGGTAAACTTCACGGGATGTCAATTACATGGGTAAACTTCACGGGATGTCAATTACATGGGTAAACTTCACGGGATGTCAATTACATGGGTAAACTTCACGGGATGTCAGTTACATATTGTTTTTGTGCATATGCGCGCACACACACACACACACACACACACACACACACACACACGGTTGAAGCAAGAATCAGGGGCTGTGCTCTGGCCTGGTGTGGTGAAATTAAGATGGTAGGAGCTTTAGAAGTGAGGTCACTAGGGACTCAGCCTGGGCACCATCAGGAAGGAATTCAGGTAGTCAAGTATGTTGCAAAGCAAGGCTGCCTTATACACTTGGCCTCTCCTATGCCATGTTGGGATACAGCCAGGGATCCTTGCTGGAACCAGTACAAGACTATTGGGACCCTCTAGCCATAAATCTTGAGTCAAATAAATATCTTTTCTGAACACATCATTGTGCTGACACCTCCAGGCATTCACACAAAACAGCCCAAGACAGCAGCAGTTAGGTGCTCCGGCAGCCTTTAGTGTTGCCCAGAGCCCTGGGGAGCCTCAACATCTCACATTCACTCATCAGTGAGGAGCAACTCTAGCATTGAATAGAATGCATCAACGTGGCTCCTCCCTCAAAGGTCACAGTCGAGCAAGGGCCATGTGAGAAGTGTGGCTCAGAAATACAATGGGAACCCCCAGGGCAGAGGGCTGGGTAGAGGCTATCGGAGGTCAACACAGGGAGGCGGACTCTGTGCAGCAGAGGAGGGGCTCACTGGGTCCATATTACCCCAGGAGCTATGCTGGGCGCCCAGGTTCCTGGAGCTGGGGTAACAAAGGGCCAGAAGCCACTCTTGTGGACCCTGGGTCACATGGCCTCTGTTCTCCCACACGCTGTGCTGTGTAATCAAAGCTGCCATGTGGCCGTGAGGTAATGAACCTCCATGTGCAGATGCAGGCCCCAGGCCACCCCTGATTTTCTACAGGAAGAACTGTCCAGCTTCCATGGTCCTGTGGCTCTGTTCCTATGACTGCCATGGGGTGTGGCTTCAGGGTTCCCATGCCGGTGAGATCCTGCTCAGTAGGGCAGGGGTCTAGTTGTCCACTTTCCCTTGGGAGCCTACTGCTGCCTGCCCAAGCAACTGAACAGGCTGGCTTGCTCCTCTTCCCACCGTCCTCTTCAATGCTTCCATCCCCTGCCAGAGCAACACTTTAGTTACCTCTCAGGCTTCACAAAATGAGAAGCTGTTACTCTTGGGGTAGAGCGTAGGAAGGACCAGCTTACTCCTGGGTAGACCTTTACCATGTCTCATCCCGCAGGCACACGTCAAGGTTCTGGAATGCGGCCTTCTTTGATGCTGTCCACTGTGAGAGGCGGAAGCGATCTCCCACCACCAGGTATGAGCCAAGAGTGTCCCCTCCAGCCTTGGGAGAGAGGACCAAGTCTTGGCTCACTCTCCCAAGTCCTTGGGAGCCAGCAAAACGGCTGAGCTGCTGTTGGTTTCTTCCACCCGCCATGTGTCCCAGAGCCCTGCAAGCTGCCTGAGGGGTTAGTGCTCACAGCTTTGGGGGTGGGATGCTCAGCTTGCATGGTGCTTCCTGTTCTGGGGCTCTGGCATGACATGGCCTGATCCTCCTAAAAATGCCACCTCTGCCCAAGAGAGACCACTGGCCTCCACTCCACCCCTCTGTTCACTGTTAGAATCAGGCCTGGCAGTGCAGCCACCCCCTTGGCCCATAGCTGAAGCCTAAGCAGACCTTCTCAGCCATGCCCACACTAGTCCTGCACCGCAGATGCCCTGTGGGACTCTGTTCAGAAAGCATGGAAAGCAGGGAAGGACTTGTCCCCCAATACTACCAAGGCTCTCTTTGGGAGCAGGCACAGGTTGCTACCCACTCCAGTCAGCTGCAAGGCAGCAGTCCCTGTGAAAGCCAGGCCAGCCCTACTGGCCCACCAAGTGTGGGGCTTTGTAACCAGTGTCTCAGAGCTTCAGTTGACTGTCACTAGGGAGGCCTTGGGCCTTTTGCTGTGTTTGGCAGGGAACAGATGAGCAGAGCGCCTTCTGGTCGAGGCTCCTCTGTGGGAAAGTGATTATTTGAGGTAGAACCCTTCCTCAGAGGAGCAGCTGGGGCCAGTGGGAATGAGGTGGCTTGCCTCAAGTCCCATGACCATGTGTTGGGACTGTTTCCTGGGGAAACAGAGGGAGCATGGGGTGGACAAGGCCCTAGACTTCTAGAAGACCCTGGGGAGAATTCCACTCTGTTTGGAGACTGGGCGGCCTCCAGGCCCGCCATTGGCTTCTTGCTGAGCTCTCCCAGCTCCTAGGGATCCATCTGTTCTGGGTTCCCTGTCTCTCTCTGTCCTCTCTGCTCCCACCTAGAATAATCCTCTCTGCTTGCTCTTTTCCATCCACATATCTTGCATGACTTTGACATGTGCCTTTGTTTACCTGTTTCTGCTGCCGCTCCAGAGGGGATGCTGGAGAGCAGGAGGAGAAGAGGTGTGTGTCCACGTGACTTCGTTCCATTTTACAGCTCTGGGGTTCTTTCCAAGGCCACTGCCAGGAGGGGAGGGTGTCCTTGGGGAGGCAGGCCCTGTGCTAGGTAGGCTGGTGACAGGGCCTGGCCCAAGACAGAGATTGCCAGGGTCAGAGCATCCTGAGATAGTTAGAAAACAGAACACTGAGCCACCCCAAGAGGCACACACGGGCAAAAGACTGCTAGCCCTCAGGGGCATGGCACTCTCCAGGGGCCCCTCTGTACCTGGGCCAGGCACAGGAATCCCACTGGTGTGGAAGTGGAGGGTGGGTATAGAAAAGCCGTCCTGTTTGCAGCTCCTCCCACTCCCGCTGGAGGGGGTGTTATCTGGTCTGGAGTCACATGGAAGGATAGTTACTCCCTCTCCCTCAGCCACTGGGTAACCAGAAGAGCTGGGGGTGGTCCCTTGAAGCAAAGATGGGCTGTCTTTGAGCCTGCAGGGGTCTGACTCATGTTTCCTAGAAGCCTCTGTGACATATTTTTAGAGTAAAAGCTGTGCCCAGTCATAAAGAGTTGTGAACCCAGGTGGGTTTCCTTGGAGCCTGGGCATGATGTTTTGGGACGATGGTTCACAGCTGTGCCACTCTGTGACCCTCGTTGCTGTGGCTCTACAGAGGCTGTGAGGAGCATCCGGGCCTGACATCCCCTCACAGTAGCAGGGCCCCATAGCCCCAAGTTCTCTCAGAGAACCCTGTGACAAGCCAGCTTCCTAGGAGCAACTCAGGCCCAAAGACGGGCACTGTCACAACCCCACCCCCACCCCTGCCCCAGACAGCTGAGCTGGTCCATGCTACTGGCCCAGTGGCCTGTTCTGTCCGAGTCCAGCTCTCCTGCTGCCTAGGCCTCACAAGCCTCCTCCTCACTGGAGCCCAAGCAGCTGACTGACCAGCATAGGCCTACTGGAGAGGAGCTGGTGTCATCAAGTCCCCAGCCTCCAGCAGCTGTTTTTCTCAGTCGCACGCACGCACGCACGCACGCAGGCAGACAGACAGACAGGCATATAGACAGACACAGAGAGAGAGAGAGACAGACAGACAGACACACACACGTAGACAGAGAGAGAGAGTGCTTAGATTTGTGATTGATGTTCGCATTGCAGAAGCCTGAGCTCAGCTCTCAGGAAACAACTAGACAGAAGACACCAGCCAGGCCAAGTTGCTCGTGACCTTCCACTCCTTTTCAGACGTCAGGTGACACCTCAGTTTTAGTCCTGTCCACAGCAAGGAGAATCACTCCTCATGGGGTCAGGCGTGAAGGACCGGAGCTGCTAAGCCACACAACTCAGAGTGGGTCACTGTGCACATCTGTACATGGCAGGCTGCTGGTGGTACCTAAGCAGCCTCAGAGCAAGTGTCGGCAGGCTGCACAGTCCCTCCAGCGCACTCTGGGATCTTGATGGAGGTGCTGCCTGAGCATGCAGAAGCCGCAGGGGACTCCACCCTGCTGAGCTGTAGCAGTCAGTGGCCTGGGCCAGGAAGAGCCAGGCCCGGGCTTTGGCCCCTTGGTTTTGTTCTCTCCCCTCCTTCCTTCCTTCTGCTTCTCCACACTGACTCTCCTTCCTCCATGCTACTTCTTCTCTCCCTGTGCTCCAGTCTTTCTCTCAACTTTACTTTAGTTAGCTCATCCATCCTGAGGCTTCTCTTTGGAGGACGTGGGCCAGAAGGAGCTCTCCTCCTGTCTGAAGCAGTGTGTCTGTCCTCTGAGTACTAGGGTCTGACTTCACGTGGGCAGTGAGCACAGACACAGGGCCTTCTGTGTCCTCTTAGGAGGGCCTGCTCCAGGAGCCTCAGTGGGAAGGGGAAAGCCAGGTGATGGGTGACATGACGGTCTTGCTGTGGTAGTGGAGAGGAGTTAGCATAGGCAACTTTGTGTCTACTCCTGGGCCTTCCCTCTACACAGGGCAGGTGGATGCCCAAAAGAACACCCCAACCGTACCCAGGTGCCCACCCCATGCCACCTGCCCAGTGCAGAGAACAGTTCTTCTTAGAGACTGTCCACTGCCCCACTGGCTTTACAGTTTGGGCTGGCTTCATGATGGACACATGGTCACAGGCTAGTGCCAGGAGGCCTATAGGCAGAGTGTGGAGTTACTGCCCCCCCCCCGTGGTGGGAAACAGCCATGGTGGAGAACCCCTGTGAGGCAGGCAGAGTCTGTGCAGAAAGGACAGTATGGCTGTCCCAGGACACCAGGCAAGGTCCTAGCTCCTCTGAGTCTCCTGGCTGTGAGTAACCAAGACCCTCTCAGGTCTCCAGGACAACAGAGTGTCGTTAGCTTTGCGGTTCTTCATCTTAGGCAGGGAGTAAATGTTGGTATTTGGGGATCCCTAGAGTAGCAGCAGGCTCTGGTGGAAGCTACCCCCAAGGCAGGTCCCCATGTGTCTAAGAGGCAGTGCAGACTACCAGCTCCACAGAGCAGGGGAGGGAGGGTCCCAAGCCATTCTGAAGCCCATCCTGTCCTTCCTGTGCCCACAGAGAGAAATGGTGCCACATGACCCAGGAAGAGCGGGATGACAGCCTGCGGTTCAATGAGAACATCACCTTCGGGCAGCTCGGGTGAGAGCCGAGCCGCGAAGCCAGACCGGGCCACCTTCCAGTGCGGGGTGGAGGAGTGGGTCTGATTTCGCAGGAGCATGGGGCTGGGTGTCAGTCTGTCTCTTGATCCTGGGGTGCAAATTCCGGTTAGGAGGTGTGGGTGACATTTTCACCTGATGCTGCCCCATGGCCCAGCCATCCCCCAGTGTTAGAGCCCAGTGTCTGTGCTCCCTTTTCTGGGCCAGCAGGAGGGTAATGGCCACGGGTGTTTCTCCTGCAGCACGTTCACCCACAACATGCTGGCCTTTGGCCTGAACAAGAAGCTGTGCAGTGACTTCCTGAAGAAGCAGGCTGTGATTGGCAACCTGGATGAGGGTGAGCTGGGCTGGGGTATTGTGGGGAGGTGGGAGCCAGAGCAGGCCCTCCACACTGGGGCTCCCCACCCTGCCAGGAGGAGGGCGCCTGCCATGGAAACCTGTTTCCCTGGCTTGCCTTCTTCTTTCCCGAATCCATGGAACATTCACTCTGGCTGTGTAGCTGGAAGTCATTTCTGCTGAGGGATGGCGGGCGACATGTGGCACAGCCAGGTCAGAAATGAACATGGCTCTGGATTCTAACTCTGCATTTGTGCAGAGTGAAACCCTGGCCACAAGTTGGTACTGTCTATAGCGCCATCTGGTTTTGAACCACGCTGTCAGGGCCGGGTGGTCGGGGGTTCAAGGCTCCCCATAGTCCACTGCTCTGCCTCAGCAGAGAGCTTTGTGTCATCATCTCAGCTCTGCAGCCAGGCTTGTGTGTCAACCGTTCGCTGCTGGTGTGCTCCGGGGCCAAGGCCTTACACTCAGACCCATGTTCTGATGAGCCAGTGACTCACCCTGCCCTCATTCCTAGCCAGGGAGAGCGTGGGCAGGCACAAGGGCATTCGTAGCCATCGGACAGCCTCCGTGTTACCTCCCCCTCCCCGTGGCCCTCAGAGCTCAGCCTGCCTTCTGTTGGGTCCCACGCCACACACGACACCGTCCCTGTAAAAGGCCATGTTCCTGAGAACAAGGGCCCACTTCCTGAAGACACATACCATGGACAAGGGCTCAGCTCTGAGATGCAGCAAGGGGTGACTGACGACCTATGGCCCCGTGGCTGACTGTGGCTCGTCAGTAGACTTGTCCCTGGCCTGCGTATACAGGCTGGGCCAAGTCATTCCTGGCCACCAACCATCTCTTCTGGAATAACCCTGTTCTCTCTTCCAGAGCAATACAAGCTGCTAAGTGACCACATTGAACAAATGGCCACAGAATAGGAGGTCAGCACTTGCCGCTGTCCCAGGAGCTGTCACCCCAGTGATGACCCTGCATGACACCAGCAGCACCCAGAGCCGCTCCTGGCTGCCCTAGAACTAGCAGTTCAAAGACTCCGGAAGCCTGTCTCCCCTGCCTGTGTCTGCTCCCCACTCTATGTACAAGGTGTCCCTTGGGCTACACAGCTAAAAATGAGGGACCGTCTACCCCCCACCCATCCTTGAGCACCAGGCTTATGAGATGAGACAGAGGATGGAGGAGAACATAAGCTAGGGTCCCCAAAGTTCCTGCTGAGAGCCAGGGACATGTGGGCATGGAGGTGCAGGAGGGGGATCCACACAGCTGTAACAGAACCACTACTAAGGGTCACAGCCTGTCATTCCCTGCCACAGGACTTTCTGTGAGCATAAGCTGTGCGGAGGGGCCATGGAGCCTTCCTGAAAGGTCATGGCTACCTGTTCTTCTCCACCTCCTCATGTGGCAGGAACTAGAAATCACAGGAACTGGAAGAGAACTCAAGGGTTGTCACTTTTCTAGGAGTGAGAATTCTGCCAGCCACAACCTTGTCTCAGACTTGAGAGGCCTGCCAACAGAACCTGTGACCTGTCCACTCAACACAGTCTCTCCTTCAATAGCAGACAAAATCCTTCAGTTCCCAGCAGCAGCAGCAGCAATAGATGTCATGGACTGCAAGAAGCGTGGGGGAAGCTTTCTTCAGGGTGACACCCTTGCTAAGAGTCACTGGTCAGAGCTGGAGTACACAGAATGGATCTGACTGAGTGAGGAGGCCACAGGGAAGCGATGTTGCCTGGGAGCTCCAGCCCATGGCCCTCTCCTTCTGAAAGACCCACAGGGACTTGCCTCCTCTGCACCCACATGCCAGACAGAGTCTGACCCACAGCATCCAGTGTGCTGGCTGGCTCCAGAGTGGCTGTCCCATCCACCCCACCCGTGGCCTAGGTTCCTTCTGGGCCAGCTACTGCCATTCTGGTCACTAACCTTGAACTAGGCCTGCAGGCTCTCCTGTCACCCTTCATCACCTCATTCTCTGTTCCTCAGCCTTCAGTCACATTTAGTCAAGGTCTGTCTATGAGCACAGCAGTCCTCTTCTGACAGCCGGGGACTCAGCTGCCACGGGCAAGCCTTCCCTGTGGGGAATGTCCCCCTAGGACGTCCAGAGAAGAGCAGGATGGGCCAAGCTTCGGAATGAACATGTCTTGCATGTTGGGGGTGACCAAGGCAGCTCATCTGTCGCTGGGCAATTCAAACAAATGCTGACAGCCAGGTCAGCCCCGATGACATAGTATGTGTTACTGGGGCCAGCTAGGACTCCCACCCCAGCGTTAGGACCCCATAACTGTGCCTGTCTCTGCTCCTGTGTGGTAGGGAAGTGACATCCCGTGAGATCGCCCCTGCTATCCTCTCTAGAGCCTTCCTCAGCAGTGCAAGCATGGCAGCCTCTCCTTGCTCCCCCCAGCCCTGCATTAGTGTGAGTTCAGGAGTAGTATGGCCTGACTGCAGCAGCGGCAGCAGCAGCAGCTGATGTGTTGCTGACTTCTGCCTGGCCCCGTACAGCCATGCACAGCCTTAAGGGGAAGAGCACCAACGGTTCCAGCACGTGGACTTAGGAATACCCTGGAGACGGTTCCATACCAACCTTTTGAGATAATCGTTTCAGGAGGAAGGAAGGATGGCTCTGTTTTGTCTGTCTCTAGCTCTTTATTGCAGATCCAGCCCCACCGAGTTGGGAAATTCTGACCCATGTTAGACACACATGGCACTGCTAAGGACCTGGTAGCCCTCTGAGGACAGGGTGGCCCCTAATGGGAGCAAAGCTACAGGAGACTGGAGGTTGTCCCACCATCACCTGCAGATGCCCTGTGTTGACAACTAGCTTTGGTGACTGTTTCACAGCTGGGAGCCGCTGGCCAGTGTCTCTTGGAGGTAACTAGTCTGCCCCCCACTCCTGCCCAGGTATCCTGTCTTCCTGTAGTAGCTTTCCCCTAGGGCCCACCAAGCAAGTGTGAACTGCATCCGTGAAAAGCACTCCTTGGCCACCCTGCTGAGCTTGTGAACCACAAGCAGGTCAAATTACCTGGATAATCCCAAGCAGTATCTCCAGTCTTGGCTGGTAGTGGCCCAGATCTGTGCAGGCCCATTAGCAACACCCTCAAGCCTTTTTGGCGTGTGACCTTCAGGATTGTGTGAGTCATTATCACTCACAATAGTGTTTACCTTCACAGAAAAACGTCCTCTGGTAAGTTGCCACTCTGCTGTGTCAGCTGTGTTAGGGTATCGTGGGGGTAGGAGGCAGAGTGTGGCAGCCTCTAGGCTGCCTCTGCTGAGTGTCTAGCCACAGGCAGAGCCACACTCGGGTATATTGAGAGATCTGCATTGTGCAACCCGGAAGACCCTGATTTTCCCCTTGTCCAAGAAACATCCGGGCTGAGAAGCTCAGTATCTTAAGAGGACCTTGGACAAAGCTAGTTTTCAAGCTCCATTCACGTAGGAAGGAGGTCTTCCTGGCTGGGCCTAGTGGAGACCTGTAATCCCTCAGGAGGTGAAGGCAGGAGGATCAGGAGTTCAAGGTCATCCCCAGCTACATGGGTTCAAAGCCAGCCTGGGCCACATGAGACCTGATGTCAAGGAAAAAAAAAAAACAGTAAAAGGTGGCCCTGAGAATGGAGGGTGGGCTTAGACCCAAGAATTGGCCTGATGCAGATGGGGGACTCATGGCCTGCCTTGTCCCCGCTCAGCTGAGAGGAAGCAGTCCGTGTTGTGTCCCTGTTTCTGTAGCCCAGCGACACAGGAGGCTCCAGGGACAGTGCACTACTCTAGAAACACCCGCCACTCCAGGTTGCTGGTGTGAGGGACCCAAACTTCTCTGCTGGAAACTATGTGAAAAGCTGAGGTCTAATTGTGGTGGCCTTAGTAGATCCCAGGCTGTAGACTCACACTCAACCTTGACCTTCCTGGGTCACACTGACTAGTTGGTTTTCATTCTGGGCTGGCACAGCTAGAGCAGCTTCATTCCAGTTCCCAGACTGCAGTTGGACTGCCAGGAGGATCCTTGTGTGGAACGTGGTAGGAAGGGACTTTAGGGGATGGCACTGGCCCCATAGCCTCGGGAAAACGGTAGGAGAACCCTCCTCAGCAGAGGGTCCTTGGTTCCAGGCTCCTGCCTCCACTCTTCCCACCTCCCAAGCCAGCTCTGCAGAGCCCTTGCTAAGGGCTGAGCTGCCTCGCCCATGTGTCCTTCAGGTCCAGCCTCGCAGCCACGGCCTCAGGTTTGTTTAGCTTGAGAAGCTGCCAGTAGATGCCCACAGAGTGGGCCTCGTGGACTGGACAGGCCTTTTGTGGGCTGGGCTCCTGCACTCCACTTCATCAGGACAGGAACAGGAGCACACTGTTAGGTCAAGAAGTGAGGGGACCTATCTTTTCCAGGTTTCTCACATGTGAACACACCCCTGCTAAGGCCATCTTCTGTGACAGGCTCCTTCAGGGCCTTCATTCTGTACCATAATTCGCCTGGAGTCTCTGGGGCACCATGTCACCTGATCCCGGGGAGGGATGGAGTCCAAGGTGTGGTGGGGGCCAGTTTGCCCAGCTGCAGGGTGACAGGGCAGCTTATGCCAATGTCCCAGCTGGTCTGAGCTTTGAAGAGCAGATGAGCACAGAGCTGGAAGCATCACCTCAGTCAGGCTGTGTTCATGGGACTCCTCGGGAAATTAGTGATTTGGGGGACCAGCTTCACTGTAGGCTCCAGGCTCTGACGGGAAGTGGCATGGGCCCAGCTGTAAGCCATGCCCACCTAAGCTACAACTTCAGAGATAGCACTTTATCTAGAACCGACCCCGTCCATGGATTGCCTTGGCTTTGATCCTGAGCTTACACTGACCCTATCCCATCCTTACCCCTAGATGATAGATATATTCATGGAAAGGAGGAAAGAGACCCTGCTTGAGGAAGAAGGTTGGCTCACCACTTGCAAGAGGCACTAGCTTAGTGGTCTGAGATTGTCACTTCATTCAGAATGGGGATACCTCGGGAAGGATGAGTTAGACAGTCGGCTGTTGGGAGATACTAGTCTCAGACAGCAGGCATGTATCCCCATGGAGCGTATGTCAGGACCTGGACCATCGGCTGCCTAGGCTGTACCCGGTTTCCAGTGCAGTTCCTGTGGGGACTCCACCTGCACAGTCTGTTCTCTCTTGGGGTTCCACACCCATTTGTTGCCAGAAGCCCCCAGTGATGCTGTGTTTTATATGTTAGTTATACAACTTTGTGCCCTGCCAGGTCATGTTCTAAAATTAAGGTTGAGAAAGTCATGAGGTCGAAGATCTCAGGCAGTGCTGTTTCCTGTGAAGAAAAAAAAAATGTGTATCCATATATATAGTACCTTGGCTTGTCAGGAGGTGGAAACTGAAATAAATTATCTTTTAAAAAGAAGTCAGATTAACTTGTTTTCACGTATCTGTGAGGACTTCACGGAATACATAGTCACGTCACTGGCCTCACAGAAATAGGTAACCCCACCCCCGCTTGTACTTGGCTGACTAGACTCAGAGGCTGGGTTAGAGTTTGCCTGAGGATAGAGTGTGGCCTGCTGCTTGGACATGTGGGCCACCCTAGACCTGACCACCACCTGTCATGTGGGGCCAAATCAGGGTCTGACACCTGTTACTCCCAGGTAGGAGAGGGGGTGGGGGTGCTTTGGCTCAGAGAGGAGGCAAGGTCGGGGGCATCCTAATGCCTAGGTAGTGATCAAGCCTGATGGCTTACCCAAGTTGTCTGTGGAACCAAGGTGCAAAAGACAGAGACATCCTCCTCTCACGTGTGAGTGTACAGATCCAAGTCTAGGACCTTGGCATGCTCATGATGGCCTCATTCTTCCTAGGGAACAGATCCCTCAGATGCCTTGAGGAGTATGCAAAGGGATCACTCCACACATGCTCCTGGAGGCGCCCACCTATCTACTACCTACCCCCACTGTGGACCTCTGTGTGTTTATGGCCCCATGGCCACCGTATATATCATGTCTGCGTAATGACTGAGATCTGTGCCCATCTGCCAAGTTCATGCACTAAAGAGTTAAGTCCTTGGGTGCAGAGCCTGCAAATGGTCCTTGTGGAGGGTTTGGGAGGCAGCCACAGCAGGGCCCTGAGCTTACAGAAGGGGGCATTTGGGCACAGACCTTGATTCACTTAGGGAGAACACCATGTAGAATCAAAAGCAGACATTGGGCATCGTGGCCACAGGAACAGGCTGCACCTGCCAGAAGCTGGACAGGAGCCTGAGGATCCTCCCAGTTGGTGGTACTTGACTGGGAAGACCCCAAAAACTAATCTACCATGCTTTAGCATTAACGCAGTGTGGAGACTCCTGTCCCCAGATGAAGGCAGGAAGCAGACAAAGCAAGGATGCGGTTGAGAGTCACATGTCTTTCACTGACACCAGAAATCTGAGTCTGCAGAGCATCCTACTGTGCGGATAAGGAAAGAGGCCCCGGGGATCCCTGACCAAGGACACCAGCAGAGGTCCAGGTCCAGCCAGCCTAGGCCTTCCACCTGCCACAGGATCCTCTTCCTAGTCACGGCGTCCCTGCTGCTGTCCCTTGAGGTCCTCCAGGGGGATCTCCTCCACAGAGTCAGCCTCACTCTCCTCCTCATCTTTCCCCTGGTGTGCCGTGGTGCTCGGAACACTCTGAATGACAGGAAGACAAGTCACAGCCACAACATCCAAACCAGGAGTGGCGGTGACAAGCTCTGAGTTGGAGAGTTGGCCCTCCTACACCGCTCTAAGGAGTGACTATGGCCATAAGCCACTTGGCAGGTGAGGCCAAGAGAGGGCATGACTACCAGCCAGGGAGAGTGAGTTTGGAGAAAGCCCAGTTCCTGGCCACCTCCCTCACAGTGGTCACTTCCCCTTGCAGCGGCCACCTCCCCTCACAGTGGTCACTTCCCCTTGCAGTGGCCACCTCCCCTCACAGTGGCCATCTCTCTTCACCATGCCTCCCTGGCCACATCCTACTTGTAGACGCTGCCAGTTTCCCTGAGGTTGTTAGCCAAAGGCAGATGAGAGCAAGCCGTTCCTGAGCTGTCAGGTGACCTTTGGCTAGTGTCCCTTATTCCTAACATCTGAGAAGTTCTGAATCTGCCTGTGGCCCAGGTGGGATCAGGTCAGACCTGTCAAGCCAGATCCCTCCCTCCAGCACACTCCCCTCAGCATGCCTCTGGGGTGATGGGCGCATGCAGGCGGATGCTTGCAGGCCTTCCCCAGCAGGGACCACTGCTCTGGTTGTCAGCCATCCATCCATGTCCCTGGTTTCTTTACTTTGTCCCAGGTAAGTGCTCACCTGGCTGGCCAGAGGCCAAGGGACAGATAGAGAGGGGCTGGTGTCTGTCAGCGGCCGAGCTTCGCTGTGCCCATAAGTTCCATGCATCTTGGCTCTGAAGTCCTGCCAAGGAAAGACCGGGGTGGTTGGATCCAGCTTGAAAGCACAGGAGAGGAGTAGAGAGCAAAGCCAGGAAGCTATGAGGCATCTGTGGGTACTTCCTATTTGCTATGTTATGGACCCCACAGCAGCCCCGAGGGGGTGTTCAAATCCCATCAAACAGATGGAAAAACTAAGGCCCAAAGACACTAGGTAACACAGTCACACAGGACAATCGCTGGTTGGAAATCACTTTCAACCCCTGAAAGAATATTGTAGAGCTGAGACTTGAGCCACATGCCTGTAATCCTAGCACTGAGGAGGCTGAGGCAGGAGGATAATGACTGAGGCTCTCATGGGCCATAGAGATGAATGAAGTTTTGGAGAACCTGGGGTTTGTCTGTAGCCTTCTGTGTGATTTTAAAGCTTTTGTAAAAACCCTTGGATGGATCTTCCATTCTGTTCTTGAGTGCCAGCCTTAGCAGGTCACCTGCAACATCCTGGCAGGAGCATACAGAGTGACTTCCTCTTGGCCCCACAAGGCCTTAGTGCTCCCCACGTCTCAGGCTGCTGGCTGGTGGGAACCATTCACCACAGATAACCTGGGGTAGGTGCCAGGCTGTGGGCTTTGTGGACTCCTGGCTCAGTCACCAAGCTCCACACCCATAGAACCCCACACTGCCTCCCAAGGCACCTTTACCATTTTCCTGTATCTGGAGGGTAGCTACTTCCCTCCACCATCTGCACATACAGAAAGAGGCCTTTGAAATAGCCCGGCTCCAGACTGTGACCCAAAGCCACAAGATAAAGGGACAGATGATTGGCTCACAGCATCAGTTTTGGGGCCAAGCTCTGCAGATAAAACTTGCTGAGAATCTAATCAGCATGGCTGGGGACAGGCAGCGCTTTGCGCTGAAAACTGAGTGCCAGCCACAGAAAGCCTTTGTCCCTGCTGTTTCTCTTCAGTACTCAACAGGCCTGTGATGCTGAGCAGGTGACATGCCAGGTGACCAGGAGAAGATTCCGCGACGGGGTGGCACTCGGACCCGATGTTTGAAGTAGCTCATGAGAGCAAGCCCTCAAGCTAGGTGGAAACCCACAAAGGCACAGAGGAGCCCTGGACCCACCTGCAGGTCTCGCTCCAGGTCGTAGCTCTCCAGGGTCCTGAAAGCACTGGAATACACCTCCACTGCCTTTGCATGGAAGACCATCTCGATGGTCACAAAGTCAGAGAAGATTCTCTGTGGGAGAGAAGCCTAGTCAGGGTAGCAGCACCACACGGGGCACATACATCGTGGACGCTGAGCCACATCCCCAAGCCTTTTTAAAAGTTTGGGGGATAGCCCTCTACCTAGAGGCAAGAAGACCCCATTGGTGCCAAGTCCCTTACACACCACACTAACAGTGGCCACTTTTGAAAGTCTTCCTAATCTAAACAGTCTGTATCAGTTCCCAGCTTCATTCACTTATATACTGACTCATTCATTCCACAAATATTTCTCAAGTACCCACCATATCCCAGACCCTGGATCTAGAGGCCAGGTGTCTGGAGTCGAGCTGATCTTCTGGACCTCAGAGATGAAAGGGGTAAACCCAATGCAGGAGCCTGACACAGGGCACATCCTGTGCTAAGTCCCTGAGGTAGGAAGGAGCTTGGGCCTTGAGCCTGGGGTGGGGTTGACAGTAGAGGATGCCGGAAGGCCCAGGCTGCTGCCTTGGGAGGTCTTGTTCTTTGACCTTAGGACCAGGTGAGTCATCTAAGGGTGTGAATCCCAAGACTGACAGATCAGAGCTGTCTGTCAAGAGCCTCCTGGGGCTGAAGAGTGGAAAAGAGAGGACTGGTGGGTGGGACAGGCAGGGACATCCGTGGTCAGTTAGTCCTGTGAGAGCAAGTTCCTTGAGATCTCTTGAAGGACATGGGACTTGACCTAGAATCCCATGGTTCTCGTGAAGAGGTGGGTTCTGGTGGAGATAAAGGAGACCCTGCCTGCCTTGGAGCACCTCAACATGGCTGCTTCCTAGAGGAGCTTTTAGAGTTTCAACGGGGAGCTAGGATCTCTTGTGGACACAGTGGAGAAAGAAGAGTAGGTTCAGGAACGGGACAATGTGGGCAGAACCGTGCCTCAGAATCCTCCTTGTTGGGATCTGTGTCCAGAGCACTGAGCAGCTGGGTGAGGCCAGCCTACCCCGAGCAGATGACCTGTCATCTGCAGCCAGGATCAACTCTCCCCAGAGCCCTGGCCTCTGAGGGTCATGGGGTCATACACTGCATGAGGACCCACTCTCAAACACAGGAATTCACGCCCATTCTCGTGCATCCACACACTCACAAAAGGCTGCCACTGCCTACCCGGAGGTCTTTCAGCTTCTGCTCCTGGAAGGCATCCACTGTCTCTGCCAGGTGGTGGGTAGAGCGGTTAGTGTCCACGGAGGCCCTCTGTGCACTGGTCTCCGCCTGGCCTCGGGAACACGAGAAGTATAAAGCATCACAGGGTGGGCCTGACCCCTACATACTGTTCTGGGTTGTTCCCAGTCCTACCATCTCCTCTGGGGCAGTTTCTCCTGCCTCATGCAGTCTCTTGCTAACGTGGTCATTGAGGAAATGGTCAGGCAGAACCATGGAAAAAGGGTGGTCACTGGGGTTGGATAGATCTGCTTCTTAGCTGTGTGACCTCAAACAAGTCACTTAACTTCTCTGAGCTTCAATTTCCTTGCCCGTTGGGAGAATTGGATGATGAGAAGTGGGGAGCCACTCCACAGTGGAGCCCATGCTCAGTATGTGGGAGGCCCTGAGGACCCCAGACTCATTCCCGACACTGTCAGCAACAATCATCAATCCGAGATAGGCATTTGCTAGTCTGAGCTTTATTCCATGGAGGCTAAACGTTCTTGGTAACTGACTCCTGCCTGTGGACAATTGCAGGGCAAAGCTCCTGTTCCCTTTTCACGCGGCAAAGTTGGCTCCATGCCCAGACCAATCCCTCAGCAGCCTTCCCTGGAACTGAGTTCTGAGTTT